TTGACTGTCTAGCGCCTTGGGATGTCTCCCAACGTAAAAGGCGCTATACAAAAGTAATTTGTTGTTATATATTGCGCCTTTCACATCGGGAGGACATCAAAATATTTTTACCTGTTTTGTTTTTTAATAACTTTTGTTATACCCGCCTCTGGCAGAGCATGTCCATTTTAACTTGTAACAAAAAAAGGGTCAGGGTACTGAGTGATACTGATACTGTGAGAGTTGGGCTGTGAGTCTCCAATGTCAAAACAGAACGAGATACCAACAAATTCTTGTGTATAAATATAACAAAGGTCATTGGTCAGGCGAGGAATCAGTACAACAGTTTACTGCTCACGTTATATGCTGGAATCAGCCTTAACAATGCACATAATTAGACCAATCGTAACAGACTACATTTTGTGTACAGCTCAGCAAATAATCATGAGTCACATAACAACTCTTGTTTCACACTTAGTAGTGTCTCAGATTACTGACAGGTAACCCAAAGTACACAGCTGTTAATACATGCAAATAATGATTGTATTTATATTTTTCTCAATAACTGGTAATAGCCAGACGGTGGAGGATGGGAGAAAAGGGGGAAACTAAGAAGATTGCAAGAGAGAGCAGCTTCTTGAGTATAGTTATACTGATATATGAGGCTCATGTGATTGCATCTTCTTAAGTGGAACATCTGTTGGCTTGCTTAAGAAATTATCTAATAGAGGGATCTAAACAACATGAATAACACAAGAACTTGCACTTATATAGCGCCCTCCATGCAGGGTAGCATCTCAGAGTGCTTAACAGTGGCGGAGTCTGACTCCGAGCCAGTGGGGGGAGGTGGCCATAAGCACGGTCGAACAGGAAAGTTTTCAGCAGGACTTGAAAAAGGGGAGAGAGGGCGCGAGGTGGAGGGATTGAGGGAGAGTGTTCCAGAGTTTTGGGGCATAGTGGCTGAAAGCGCAACCTCCGATGGTGGGGCGGAGCGTGCGAGGGACAAGCAGGAGGCTGGTGCCAGTTGAGCAGAGGCGCTGGGTGGTGGATTGGGGAGTGAGAAGGGCGGAGTGATAGGGAGGTGCGATATAAATGCAATTTGTTGTTGTTGTAAGCAAGGGGACATCGTCTTAAAATTAAATCTAACCTGTTGAGAAATTAGATGAGCAATTTTTTTCACACAGAGGGTTGTCCGAGTATGGACTGCCTTGGTCCAGAAAGCTGTAGATCAATTGGGTGTGTGTGACCTAAGCCTTCAGGAGAGGAGTACAATTGGCAAATAAAAAAGATACAAAATGTTGGGCTGGAATCATAAACCTTTGCTGGTTGCCCGGTTATGCTCAGAGGCATGGACTGATGTCGATTAACAGAGGTAGTCCTTTTACAACAATCAAAGGAATCCCAGCACAATAGGATTGGTGTTCCTAAAGTGATATACTGAGGAGCCCATTCAAATCCAAATTTATCACAATACCTGAGGGAGGGAATTCCTTCCAGTTTTCTTTGTTTTACTTTCTAATGTGGGTATCCTTCTTTGCTGAAATAGTAATGTCAACTGAACGTCAAGTAAAGTATCTGTAATGGGAAAATTTCAAACATTTCACAGGACAATATCACGTCCATCAAAAGAACATAGAACATAAAGGTCATATGTAGTCAGCATGATTTTAGAAGCAATGGGTTACACTTCACAAATCTACTGGAATTCTTGGAATAAGTAACTGAATGAGTGGTCAAAGGCGGAACTGAAAACTGACTTATCAAAAATAAGAAGGTAGCAACAAATGGACTGGTGTCTGGGTACTGACGGTGAAGATTGCAATCTTCTGGGGTTTTCTTGCAGATCTTCTGCCGTTTCAGTTATTCAGAAACAAAATGGAAAATATAACACTTATTGACAGTTCCAAACTACATGAGTTGGAATAATTAGTGAGATAAATTGGGATTCTTCTCCTTAGAGCAGAGAAGGTTAAGGGGAGATTTAAAAGATGTGTTCAAAATTATGAGGGTTTTGGATACAGTAAATAAAGAGAAATTGTTTCCACTGGTGGTTGGGTCTGAAACCGGAGGACACAGATTTAAGATAATTGGCAAAAGAACCAAAGGGAAGAGGAGGAGAAATTTTGTTATGCAACAAGTTGTTACAATCTGGAATGCACTGCCTGAAAGGGTGGTGGAAGCAGATTTAATAATAACTTTTAAAAGGGAATTGGATATATATGTAGGAACCTGGTTGTTAGTCGATTGGCGGATCACTTTTCCAGGGGTAATAATACCCCCCCACAAAAATAATAAATTAGTCACTTCAATCCGACTGTTTGTGGATTGACTGCTGTGCGCAATTTGCTATTGTGTTTCGCCCACAAAATATACACTCGATAAGACACTATATCAAATGCAAGGATTATTACATACATTACTTGAAAAAAAATTGCAAGATTATGGGGAAAGAGAGGGGGGGGGGCGGAGTGGGACACGTCGGTAGCTCTTTCAAGGAGCCAGAACAGACAAGATGGGTCGAATGGCTTCCATCTGTGTTGTACGATTCTATAAAACGAAGAAATGGCTGGTAATTGTAATGTTGAAAATATAAAGTAATATAAATTGGAACAAGAAAAATCACAGACAATGGATGGGTGTCAATCGGCAAAAGTGAAAAAGAGAAAATAGATGTTACACCACTGAACTGTCTGCCAGTCCATTTAAGAGGATGTTAAAGATCCCATGACTCTATTGTGGGATTTTGCTTTTATTTTGGTCAGCCGTGTGTCTGACACGTGTAGAAACCTATCCCATGCTTAAGAGAATCCAAACCAAACTGAGAATTCCATGTATCCCACACATATTTGCAAATTCCAGAGATATTTATTGGAATGGAATTCCCTCTCTCTCCCAGGAGGGAGGCATCCTGCTTACCTAATTCCAGAGAGTATTTGGCACAGGTTAACAAAAGCCCAGGCTTGAGGACCCCAGAATGATGAGGTACTGTTGGAGTCTAACCAGCTAAACCTGCATAGCTTACCATTGAGAGCACTGTCTGGTAAACTTTAACACTACCTATCCAGCTAACCCGTTAAGGCTTTGGCTTACAGGGTTTACGGGAGCTGAGTGGGCAGAGTCCCTGCACCCAGTGACTGGTCTGGCCTTGCAAGTCCTGCCGTTGAGCTAGGCTCAGGAACTGGACGACCGAGACACCACAGAGGGTTGTCTTGATTCCAACATTCAGTTGCCAAACCGGTGTGCTCATCAATAATCCAGCAGATTAATCGGTCAGTTACCTCATGACTGTTTGTGGGATCTTCTTGCTGTTGCAGATGGTTGACACATTGGCTTAGGAAAAATGTCACCTCAATCAACAATAATTACTTTTTATAGCACTTTGAGAGTTCAAAGGGATAAAAGCACTGTTGAAATACAAGTTATTGCTTTTTTTTCAGAATATTCATTCTATTGATGTGAAAAGCTCTCTACAAATGTAATTTGTTGTTGTTATTCAGCTCTGGCCTCCTTCTCTCAACAGAGCACTTCCCGTGGCCTCAGCAGTTCAGAATTCATTGCATCCCGGGGAGTATTTATTTGAGGCTCATCTATTCCTACATCCTCCAAAATGTTACAATACTCAAGTACATAAATGCCCAGTTCTTTTTTTGAAGGTGTTAATCAATGTAGTATACACACCATTCAGTGAGAACTGTTCAACACTTCCATGTGCTTTGAGGATAGGGTGGTAAAAATACATAGTCAAAACGTGGCTTCATCAATAATCTGCGTAAGGTTAGTATATATCTATGGGTATAAAAAAATTTCCAGAGTCCAATCCACTGAACTTGAAATTTATTTGTGCAAACGTTTTTAAAGCAGGTGCCAACTCTTGACATTCCACAATATTACAACCAGTCTCCACTTCAGCATTTCAGCCTCCAGTTTGCAGTTGGGGAAAGTAGCTATGAATAGTAAAAGATGATTTTTTTTAGACCAATCCAGGCTTTTAATGTATTATCAATTCTTGAATACTCCAGTGTAGACATCCAAGATATACAGCTGTACAGTAGTTCAAGGCAACTTTAATGCAGGACCTCAGTTTGTTAAATCATTTTTTGCATAATTTCCTGGAGATATTATGCACATTACTGTGCGGACTAAGACGAATACAAGGTCCACTTCACATACGGAGGGTGCATGGTGCTCAAGAAACCAAACTCACAAAAGTCAATGTTCTTCAGGAGAGGAGAGGAGAAAATTGGAGGTGAAGTTAATACCATTTTTTAAAAAGTGATTTTCATTCTTGAAACAGTAACTCTTTTTAAACCGTAGACAACAACAATAACAAATTGCATTTATATAGTGCCTTTCACGGCAGAAGCACGTTGCAAGTACTGGTACTAAGGTGCTGGTAAACCTTGTACTATCCTAAATCCTATATAATGATTGATCAGCAAGTAAGATCCCTAAACACTCAATGAATGCCTCACAAAGCTTTAGAACAATTAATTATTCTTTTACTAACCTATAAGAAGTTGCCTGTGCTGATAACAATAACCTCTTAAGATATCTTTGGAATTTATTTCCCCAATCTCTGACAATGAGGAAAAATTAACTTGTATATAAAGATTTATCATTGTCTGAAAATATCCAAACAAATGACAATCCTATTTCAATATCAAAACGCAAAAGAAGTCATCAAGAGGAATGCATGTAACTTTGTAGCATTTTTCATTCAGTATAAAATCCAAGGTATAATATGATTCAATTTTCAGAGTATAAGCACAGTTAAGAGTCAGAAAATACTTATTGTGGATATAAGAACCACAACTATTTGTGGTGTGTACACAATGGACCATTGTAACATGCACTTTCTAAAGATTTAAACAACTAGAATTTTTTTTATTAAAGTAGGAAATTCTTCAGACAGTAGTGGGGGAGGAGGAAGAGAGAAAAGAAAAGTGTTGTCCAAAACTTGTCCTTCTAGCTTAAAAAGCAATATGAGACCTTGACATAAAAAAAGCAAAATTATACACGTACAGGTTTCATGACACTTTTATTATGACCTACAAGATGTGAGCACAAATATATTTTCTTGCAAATAAAACAAATAAGACAGAAAGTTGCAAATCTAAATTGGAAGCTTTACTGACCACTGTTGGTATATTCCAGTGGTTTGGTTTACAATAGCCTTCAAATCCCATTACAATAGTTAATTGTGGCTACTATTGCTTTGATATAAATAGTTAAATTGCCATTCCATAAGTGCAAGATGGTGTTCTATAAGTGCTAGTTATACCGTAAAACTCACATAAGTTGCATGAGTCATTTAATATGACTAAGGTGAAGTCCGAGTTGCAGGCAAACTGTAGAAGAAATCATAGAAAATCCGATTTAATCAATAATCTACACTGCGCCTGCATGATTCAATGCATTCGGAAAGTGCCCGTGCAGTCTTTCATCACTGCAACTGGTAAGTGCTCATGCGGTGACAGGTCAAGACTATGTTTCCTGTCTTGACCCGTCGCTGCATGCGAATTTACCGGCAAACAATGGCATTGCATTGAATCGTGGAAAATTAAGTTCTTTGTGCACCCGACGACAGATCAAGACTAAGTATTCAATGCAGTCGGCAGGTAAGTGGGGGGTGTCAATGGGAGGTCACTTCCCACGATTCAATACAGCTGGTAGATGCAGAGATTAATGGAGGATAGGGGAGCGGCGATATGAGTTAGGAGATAATACCTTTATAAAATCCGACTATTGCAAAGAAATCTTAGTAGTTTTGAAAGGAAATTGAATTGAGACTCGGATGCAAGTACGACTTAAGCACTCTGGGATGCTTCCCCATGCAAGGGGCGCTATATAAATGCAAGTTTTGTTGCTGTTGTCGGCCTCCCAACTCTTCCCTCTACAAGCTGCAGATCATCCAGAATTCTGCAGCTCATGTCCTCTCCCTCACCAGGCTCAGTGACTCCATCACCCCCACCTCCACCCTCGCCCGGCTCCACCGGCTCCCCATCCCTCAGAGGATAGAAATCAAAATTCTTGTCCTACTTTCAAGCTCTTCACAGCCTCACCCCTCTTACATCTCTAACCTGATAACTCCCTATCAACCTGTCCGCTCCCTCCATTCAGTAGCTCCGGCCTGCTACAGGTCTCCTGGCCGACCTGCCCTACCATCGGCAGCTGGGCTTTCAGCCTCTCTGCCCCCACCCTTTGGACCTCCATCCCACAGTCCCTTCACTCCCTTTCTTGCCTCCCTCGAGGCACGACTCAAGACCCTCCTTTTCGACTATGCCTTCAGCCGCCCTCCTAACCCCTCTGCCCTCCCTCATTCCAACTCTGCCCCCCACGCTTGGGTCCTGATCCCTGTCTGTTCAGCCCCTTGGGATGTCCTCCCGCCATGAAAGGTGCTTTAGAAATGTAATTTTGTTGTTGTTGATTATACGATTTATAAAGATAAGTCTTATGCGAGTTTTACTCTATATTTCTATAACATACAATGAACTTTTTTATTAAAAGATAAAAAAGTCAGATATCTCTGAACTAGATATGCACTAAGTACTTTGACACTCTTACAATGATGTTTTTTAAAAAAGGTCAAGGGGAACTACAAACTCTACACAGCAAAGAAGAAAATTAGCAGATATAAACTGGGCAGATAAAGAAAGCAATTAATGGGGTCTAGTTTGCAATGTTAGCAAATGGGATTTGAAGTGTTATGACTTTTGTCTTCAATTCTCCAATATTATTTAACTTTTGACGTTTGCCAAACAGCTAACTGGATTGAGCAAAACAGCCTGACAGCATTTTTCGTCTCAGCATTTTTCTCCCCCCACACTTTGGAAATCGCGATTAGTCAATTTAAGAGTATTGTGAATTAAACGTTTTCGAATATTCATGAACAGAAATCATAATTAGTGCTTCGAATCCGGATTGCAAATATGGCATCTTCAACCCCAGTGTTAAGAAAAGTTATTATTTTTGCATCTTTTATGTTTTTAGTGTTACTAAAGATGGATCATATTGCACCTAGGAGATTAATGTCGCCTTGGCTGACCCTCCACTGCCTCACTACATTTTCTTTTTCAACTTTGCCAGAGCAGCCAGGTATACGTCTCTGTCGTGCCTTCGTGCATTGAGGTGTTCCGGATCAGCAGGAATTCTCCTGGACAGTGCCTAGGATGTGGAGAATTATTCAGAGAGGTTACATGTGGAAAGCCATAAATGTTGAGATCAACAAGAAAACATATATATTTTGTAAAATTATTTTCAGGCAGTACAGGTTTGCAGAAACCATTCTGATTTTAGAACTATAGAAGTTTACAATATTGTGCATGAGCTGACTCTTTGAAAGCTCTATACCGCTATCCACATTCTGCTGTCTTTTCGTCATACCCTTTTATATTTCTCCTTTCAGATACAACTTGCAATTGTATGGGGCCTTCACGTGGGTTAGTCCCAAAGCGCTGAACAATGAGGAATTTTAGGCTGAGCTGGGGAGAAAGGGAAGGTCAAAGTCAAACAGGAAGATCTCCAGGTGCAATGGGTAACTGCTGAGTAAACCTGTTTGAAGAATTTTACTTCAGAATGAACCCTATTTGTAAATCAGTTATTACCTGTGAAATGCTTTGAGATGGGACGTAGTGGCTGAAGATGCCCCCAAATATTTGGAGCACAAATAATTATCTAATTCTCTTTTAAAAAGATTTGATTCTGCCTCAAACCACGATTCCAGATAAAGATTCCACGCCCTAACAACCGGCTTTCTGTAAAACAAATTCTCCTAACCTCTCACTTTGTTTAGTTAATTATCTCACAATCCATGCCCTCTAGTTACTGACTCACCAGCCAAAGGAAAACGTTTCGCCCTGGTTACATTGTCACCTCATAATTTCAAAAACCTCTGTAGAGATCGCCTCTAAACATGTATCATGTCTCCTCTATACCTTCTGTGTTCTAGGGAGAAACAGTCCCAGTTTCTCCAATGTTTCCTAGTTAAGTAAAACTCCTGGTATCACCCCAGTGAATCCCCTCTCTGCTCTTTCTATGGCTTTGACATGCTTCCTCTAAGTACCAGAAACTGCACACAAAACTCCCAATAGCAGCCTAACTAATGATTTTTACAGACTTAGCATTACCTCTTTGTTTGTGCATTGTGCCAATCAAGTTCAAACTATCTTATTGTATTATAATATAAGTAGTTGAGCCTAAGCATAATTGAGCCCAGATGTAATAAATCAGTGGATGGATGAAAAGAAGAGGGTACTCTGGCTGATATCCCCTGCACAACTGACATTGCAAAGGTATTCTGTTGGGTTTACTTTCTCTTGTCTTCCTGGGATCTACTCAATGATTCTTGCTCATGGATCGACCAAGATATTCACTTATTCATTCTTCAGCCTGTGCTTTAAGGTGTCCAAGCACCAACGTGCTAAACTGCTGAGTAAACCTGACACTGAAGAATTTCACTTCAGAATGAATCCTATTTGTAAATCAGTTATTGCCTGTGAAATGCTTCGAGATGTTTTTAAGAGACTATAAAAATCCCAAACTGTATCTGATAATATGCTTTGTTCTCTTCGGCTAACAGCAGTCTCAGGCCTCCCCCGCTTGAGTTTGTGTCTATATCGGTGGGGCTTCCACCCCTTTGAAAATCACTGCAGTGTCTTTTTACCACAAATATACGGTCAATTCACTTTACAGTATATTCTGTGAAGCGCTTTGAGACGTCTAGAAGACATAAAAAGCGCTATATCAAATGCAAGGATTATTATTATTATTAATCTCCCAAATGTAGGCAACAGTAAATGCATGGATTATTATTATTAACTGTATACAGCACCTGATGAATATTCTGGATCTCGTCATCACGGAATTCGGGTGGGGGGCCAAAAGACGAAAGCACTCGTTTCATGCCCACGGCATAACGCTCACAGTAATTCTTGGTACCTAACAAATTCAAAGACAAGTCGAAATTACAGTCAATAGCCCACCAAAGGTTGTAAGTCAGGCAACGCTGATCAGCTGATGAAGTGAATTAAATGGGCAATTAAGAGAAATAGCAAATGATACACAGTTTGCCTCAGGCCCCACCTGTCACCTGCATTTATTCAGGAGCTGAGAAACATTTGGTGATTTTTTTCTATCTCAAATGACCATTCTGAATATGTAACTTGGATATTTGTTGCTAATTAGGTCTAGACACGAGGGCCCATGAAGTCCTCATAGAGAAACTAGCAGTGTAGATGCTGCCTTTCACTGGTAAAAGCACTAGAGGAAGCAAAAAGCCCCATCATGCTAACTTGCAAGGCATCAGCAACCTGGGGTCAGAGCCAAGGTGCTGTGAGTCTGCATGATATTTGTGGGTTTCCTGGAGGAGACTTTTTAAAAAAATATCCTGTTAGATATAAGTGCAAGGCAAGTGCCAAGTAGAGAGGAGGAATTTCCCCATAGGGAGGATGATGGTAATGGAGGTGGAGAGAAGGGGGAAGAGAAAAAAAAATAGCTTCATTTGAGCTTCAATTGCTTTTTGCATTTTTTAAAAGATTGTTCAAATCCAGTAAAACTGTTAATCAGGCTAAGTCTGCCAGCAACCACAACAACTTGCACTTATATAGTGCCCTCCATGAAGGGCAGCGGAGGGTGCAAGGGATGAGTAGGAGGCCGGTGCCAGTCGAGTAGAGATGCCGGGTGGTAGATCGGGGAGTGAGGAGGTCGGAGAGGTAGGGAGGTGCCAGGGAGTGAATGGATTTGAACCCGAGTGTGAGGATCTTGAAGTTGATCCGTTCAGTGATGGGGAGCCAGTGAAGCCTGGCCAGAACTGGTGAGATGTGGGTACGGAGTTTTGTCCGGGTAAGTATGCGGCGGCAGAATTCTGAATGAGCTGGATTTTTTGAGCTGGGGACACCGGCGATGAGTTGGAGTAATCCAGGTGGGAGGTGACAAACGCATGCATGAGGGTTTCAGCTGCATTTGGGGTAAGGTACGGTCAGAGGCGGGAAATGTGGCGCAGGTGGAGGAAGGTGGTCCTGGTCAGGGACCGGATGTGGGAAGGGAAGGACAGCTGGGGGTTGCACCCGACATCCGACAAGCACGGATTTGAGCCCTCACTAGAGCTTGTCAGATGTCGAACATTCAACTCGTAATTATCCTCTTTGGGGGGAGGTAAGTGGGGTCCCCAACCATGGCTACAAGGTGGCATTTCTGACAAGGGAATGTTGGAATCGAGCCAGCCTTCTGTGGTGGTTTTGGAATTCGGGTTCGCAGTACTCCAAGGCATTGCTGATGACAGTACAGTTATGTTGGCTTATCGGCAGGTCTTGAAAGGGCAGACTAGTCACTAGGGGCAGGGACTCTGCCCACTCAGCTCCCATTAGCTCTGCAAGCCAACGCCCGAACAGTTAGGGAGGTTCCCAGCTGGTAAATGGCAAGCTTCCCCGCTGAGATCAATGGCAAGCTACTTTTAGCTAGTTAGACTCCAGCAGTACCCCAACACACATCCTGGGGTCCCCAACCTTGGCTCTTGTCAACCTGAGCCAAATACTTTCCAGAATTAGGTAAACTGGATGCGCCCATCCAGGAGAGAGTGCACATTCCATTCTAATAATCTATCTCTAGAATTCCTGTGTGTAGGTGGGATGCATGGAATTCTCAGCTTGGTTTGGATCCTCTTAAGCATAGTGATGAGTTTCTGCATTAGTCAGCCCAAACGAACAAAAATGTCCTGACATGTTTTCGTTGACATTGGAGAGCTATTATGCTGCTTTTTTTTTTGCTTGTGCTTTTCAACTGCCTTCTCAGGTGTCCTGGGGACTAAAACCCGAGGCTTAGAAGCTGTTGATGTTATGTAAAATACAGCAATTTACATTTATAAAATGGCTTTTATGTCAAGAGAATTTGAAAATAATCTCATTGAATAATACAAAGGGTTTTTGTTTGGTCAACCAGGGGTGTCTGACACATGCAGAAACCCACCACCGTGTTTAAGAATATCCATAACACTCCACAGCTAATAACTAAGAATTCCATGCATGCCAACTTAGCATGGAAATTCCTGTGTTTGAAATGGAATGTGCAATCTCTTTCTGGAGGGATGCTTCCTGTTTACCTAATCCAGAGAGTATTAGGCTCAGGTTGGCAAAAGCCAGGACTCGGGTTGGCGTAAATCAATGCTTGGGGAGTGTGCTTTGGTGATACTGCTGGAGTTTAACCAGCTAAAACCACATAGCTTGCCATTGAAAGGACTGTGTGGCAAACTTCCAGTTGCTTGTCCAGCTAGGATCACCCTACCCATTAGGACTTGCAGGGTTAACAGAAGCTGAGTGGGAAGAATCCATGCACCCAGCGACTAACTAGTCTGTTCTTCCAAGTGATGCCGATGATCTGGGCGAGCTGGTCTGTTAGCTGGTGTGTCATCTGCTGTGCCCTGGAGTACTCTGCCACCAACCCCTCCTGGTTCAGGAACAGGAATATCAAAACCGCCACCGAGAATTGACTTGATTCCAATAATTTGTTGCCAAGCACATCAACAAATGCAACTTTTGCTGAAGACTTAATCATAATTTTCAGATGAGACATTAAACTAAGGTCCCTGTTCCGACTGACGTTAAAGATTCCAAGGCAAAAAGAGAAGGGCATTTCTCCTGGTGTACTGGCCAGACAATCCCCCAGATAAAAATACTGTCCAGAACAGCAGAACCAGAGGACATGGCCTTTAATTGAAGGAGGGTAAATTCAAAACAAATCTGCGATAGCACTATTTCAGGGAGTAAGTAGTAAACGTATGTAGTTTGGGACATGACATATGCATGCGACTGCCAGGATGGTGGAAGGTGAACTGGATGGACCTTGGTCTTCTTTTGTCTCGCAATTCTCATTCTTATGTTCGTTCATTCACTTCATGGCTGTTTGTTGGATATTGCTGTGTGCAAACTGACTGCTGTGTCCGCCTACAAATACAGTTGTTACACTGAATCGTGCAAAATGCTTTGAGATGTTTTGATGACGTGATATGCTGCTATATCAAATGCAAGGATTATTAATATTTTAATCATTTGAAATTGACAATATTTTGGGTAATAAAGTAGGAATGTTTTTAGTAGCTGATCCGATGCAGAACCTGATTCTACCTGCCGCTAATTATTGAATAGCTATGAGCTAGACATCCAGTTCAGTTCTCTTTGTTAAGCATTCCAAGCAAAGGAAACTGAACTGGACAGTTTGGGGTAAACATGCAGAGGAAGAGCAAGCCTATTCCATAACGATTGGGAGTACAACTGGGCTGACATAGAAGTGGGGGTATTAAGAATTTTATTGAAGTTTTTACCTTGGTATCATTTACATTATCACTTGGTATGATCACACTTTGGCTAATGATATAATCTTTTTGTGGAATCCTGTGGCTCAGTGGTTAGAGCACTCGCCTTCCAAGTGAAACACCTGGGTTCAATTCCTGGCAGGGTGAAACCTTGGGCAAGTTTCCTTACTCCACACGCTTAATGATAATCCCTCCAAAATAAAACAATAATAGATTGGTCATTTTCAATCCACGACTGTTTGTGGGACACTGCTGTGCGCAATTGGCTGCCGCGTTTCGCCCACAAATATATGGTCAATTTACTTTACAGAATATTCTGTGAAGCGCTTTGAGACTTCTAGAAGATGTGAAAAACGCTATATCAAATGCAAGGATTATTATTATTATTATTTCCTTATGTACGTGGTGTTCTTTTTCAATTTGTGAAAAAAAAATTGCAAAATAATACAAAAAAATCCCCAAATGTGGTCAGAACCAGTTTACGATTTTGTTTGGTTCTTATTTTTCAGGAAAATGCTGAATGTTAGCTGAAAGCTGATAGGGCAACACGTATCATGTTTCAGGAACCTGTGCCTGCAATTCAGTGAGTGGTACTATTGTACAAAATCAAGTGACTTTTTTACTTACACAAAATGTGACCTTGATTTAATAAAACAGAATGCTTAATAAAATCTGCCGTGCTGGGGATTTGCAATTATCAAGGCATGTTCCAATGTAAACAATTTTCTGTTGGCTCCACTTGTATGAAGGGCATTTCGAAGCCGAGGTGAGGAGAAGAAATATAGTCAAGTCCAGTCTTGTTCACAACAAACAGTGCAGCATAATTGTTTCACATCTTCTGCCATGGTAAATCATAACTCCATGGTAATTAAAGTGAGAAAAAAATTCTATGTACAAATACAAAACCTCCAATCGGGTTTCCGTGCCGCCCACAGCACAGAAACAGCCCTGGTCTAGTGACAAATGACATTCTGTCCATCTGCGACCAGGGTTCCCTTTGCCTTCTCTGCTGCTTTCGATACTGTCGAACACTATCGTCATCACCGCCTCTCCTCTCACCTCAAGCTTCACGACTCTGTCCTTAACTGGTTCAGATCGTACCTCTCACACCGCCTGCACTTCATCTCCACAAACGGCTTCTCCTCTAGCCCTCGTACTGTCTCGTGTGGAGTTCCTCAGGACTCTATCCTTGGTCCCCTCCTCTTCAACATCTATATGCTCCCTCTTGGTGATATCATCCGCAGACATGGGGTCAACTTCCATATGCATGCGGATGACACCCATCACACAGAGGATACAGTTCAAGATCCTGCTCCTCACCTTCAAAGCCCTCCACGGTCTTGCTCCCCCCTACCTCTGCGACTTCCTAAACCCCCGCCATCCTGCTCGCTCCTTCTGCAGCGGGCTCCAGCCTGCTTCACGTCCCCGCCTCTCTCACCCCACTATTGGCGGGTGGGCCTTCTGCCACTGCCCCCACCCTCTGGAACTCCATCCCGCAGTCCCTCCCTTGCCACCTTCAAGACACATCTCAAGACCCTCCTCTTTGTCCGTGCTTTGATCTCCCTGCTTCCCTCCCCTGCCCTCCACCCTCCCCGACCCCCAGCTCGGGTCCATAACTCTGATGGTCCAGAGC